ATTTCACCCCCTCGTCTTCCACCCTCTTTGAGTTTATAGTTTATAAGTTTCGCGCGAATCCCGATCAAACTCGTCGTTTAGGAAGGTTTGCTGGTGTAGGGCGACGCGTGGCGCGTCTAAATTTAACCGGAAATCAGAGGTGGCCTCCAGAACGGGGGATGAGACGGATGGATGGAGATTGCGTGGCTGGTGGCTGGCTGGTGAAAGTGGCCGCTTCCCTTTTTCCTTCTGTCGCCAAAGATCGAAGCCAGCTACCCCTTTCGAACCGTAAATAAATCCATTCGATTTACGCGCGTCGTGGCAGATGCAGCTTGCGCTCGTATCTCGGTGGCGAAAGGAAAACAGCGGTGGCTTGGAAAACGTCTCTCGATGGAATGGACAGCTCTTGAACAGGCTCGATTATGCTCTTTCAAGAGCGCGTTGTATTTTCTTAAGTGGATACAGCACGCGGGATTTTGCTTCGTTTGTATATAATTTTTGTCCCCGTTTCTTCCAATTCTTGTAATTCTTATAATTTATTTGGAAAATGGCAAAACTGCATCGGATACAGAAAAGTGAACGAATCGATGAACATTATGGAAATTTAATTAATAGGAAATTGAATGCATCTGTCTTAGTTCGATATTGATGAAAACTTTCGTAGGAGATCGTAGGATTTGGAAATTTGGAAGATTAAGGAAAGAATTGGTTGGTTAATTTTTTCAAATCGGTGTTACGGTGAAAATAAATCTGGATACATCGTGATTTCGCTGGAAGCAAGATGCACTTTTTCCCCTTGAATTGAATCGATAAAGCGAGCAATGAGTTCGAGGAATAGATCGAGGATCGGGGTGATTGATTAATTCTCTAATAATTGCAAGCATTGTATCTCTTCTCGGTAAGGGAAGCAAGGTTACGCGAGCAAAATTTCGTTTTCAGCGGCGTTTGCCTGCAACGCACAAAGCAACCCGTGCAATTAAGTTAAATAAGATTAATGCTCGGCGTGATGCAACAACTTGAATGGAGCGGCGTGTTTCAACCGCCTTGACGCGAATTCGTACGATCATTGGTACACGGGCCAACGCGAGATTAATTGCATCGAAAATGCAGAAAGCGTTGCGCGTAAAAGGCGAACAAGACCGCTCTCTGTCTACCGACCTCTGACTCGTATGGGTTTGCTCAATTTGCATTCATCATCAATTTCCCAAATTCTATCTCCACGCTCCACAAAGAGGTACACAAAGGGGTGATTTGAACTTCTGAACGGAATAATAATAATAAATAAGGATATTTCTTAATATTGTTTATAGATGTATATAAAAAAGATATGTAATAAAAATTTTTTAATACTTTATAGATATAAATATATTATCTACCTCATAAGAATCTGTTTTCAAAATTATTGTTGAAATTAATCATAATAAAATTTCATTATTATTCTGTTACTAAACCGAAGATTAATTTGTGCTCGAAAGATCAAATGTTGTGCAAGATTGCTACTCCTTTGTCTTCGACAAGACAACCAATTTGTCTCTCAAACCATCCACTTAACAACTCGTCAAATGATCACATTATTGTGACATGCCACGACAACGCGTGTATATATATATATATGTATTTATATATACACATACTCGTCAACCTGGAAGAAATCCTAAAGCGAGAGAAAAAAAAAAATAAGGTACTCGTGCCCAGCTGCCTAACAGCGAACCTCGTCTTTCGCCGTCAACACTTTAACGACCTCAACCCTATTTCCTAACCCCCTCTGCAAGCACTAAACGGTCAAGACGTGGAACACGCGCGACGGTTTCCTGCGTTCAATGAACCGATGACGACTGGCAGCTGCAGGACTCTCAAGGACCTGCAGCCTCTTTTTTTCTTCATTCTTTTTTTTTTTTTATTTTTTTTCTTTCGACTCGAGGCCCTCTTGACCTCGTGACTCCTGTTTCCTTGCACGTCGTCATAGCCAAACAGTCGAAAGCGGCAACCTCTCGACGAAATTCACGAAACAAACATTTTTACCCCTTCTTTCCTCTCTTCGATTCCGAACAATCTTATCGAAATTTCGCATCGTGAAACTGCGTGTAATAGACCGGAAGAAGACTGGAATTCGTGCTCTGGGAGTAACGTGCCTCTCGTCGATTCGAAATCAAACTTTACTTTTAAAATAAAATGGAAATCGTTCGATCTTCAGAAAATTGATTTGCAGATTGACTAGCGATTCTCAATCGATGACGATCGAAATTACGAAAGTTTACAAGTCTTAGAATTTAGATTTCTTTATATAATTTCTCACAGAATACACGTATCCTTGCAAACTTTTCTTTTTTTTTTTTTTTTTTACAATTCAACTTCGTATTTCTTGAGAACTTTAAGAACGTAGGTTCAGAAGGGACACGTGAGAGTGTTACGTTGTTACTAATTGCCGATTAAAACGTTAATTATCGAAAGGCTGACCGATTGCTCGTTTTCGCGTGGAGGAAACCTTCTGATGAATTAATTGATCGCGACTAAAGGATTTTTTGCGTGGATAAAAAGCGTTTAAGAAATCGTAACCTTGTGAGAAACATAACGATAAAGTTAATTGGGAAACGGCACGCGGAACTCGCTTAAATCGCATAGGATGATACACTTCTTTGCATGCTAAAGGATTGGATTAAATCGAGTCGATGTCCTGATTTCTCGTCAAAGGGGAATCTTTAATGCGGTTGATCGGCTCGTTTACACTGATTATATTCTTTGAGAGATATCACTTGAAAAAGAAACGTAAAATTCGATAAATTTGGAGATTCTGGTTTTAAAAAAAATTAATTCCCAGGTATATTACGCTTAATATTTTACGATTTCGACGTAAAGATTTGATTCGTACACATCTTCCAAGAATCGATTCTCCATCGTCCCAAAATTTTTTTTCTTCGAACGAATGTTGGGATTTTGAAAAAAATCCGTGCTGAAAGAAACACAGAAAATCTCCATTCATCTGTTTCTTAAGAATCCTTCTTCTCATTTTTTAAGAATCCTTCCCCTTTCTCTAAAGATCTTCGATTCTTCCCTGCTCCACTGATCAATCGGCCGACAATTCCGAGTTACACGAGTATTATATTATGTTTCGACGATGAAAATGATTGCGCGACATGGCGCGACGAAGCGGCGCGGCGCATCGGTTAATCGGCATCAACGCGATAATAATGTCTGGCTAACGTGCAACTGGACGACCCTCGATAATCCAATTGGACTTTACACCAATTGGACGATTCCGAATGGAAGCGTGGCCGGTCGTTTAATCGCAGCCACCGTGTATACATCGTTGCGGTTTTGTTTTCAATGGCCGGACGCCTGAATTCGTTGCACGATAGTGATCCACTGGTCCCTCCTCGCAATTGCTTAATTAGGTCAGCCGGGCAAAAAATAAGGATGGGATCATCGGCGGTACAAATTGTTTTGATGTTGATGTCACCGAAAATATCGAGCTGCCTCCGTCATATCGGAATTTCACGCTTAGCCGAGAATGATCTCCGCGGATGAAAAACAAGATCGTATCGTCGAACGATTGCGACACGAACGTTGACTGAACCGTTCCGTTCGATTTTTTTAAAGCTGGTAGCTCGGAATCGAATCATCTCGTATTTTTTTCGATGGCAGTGTTTAAACACGCGAGATTTGCATGTATTATTATTTTCTTTTTAATGGAATAAAAAATAAAAGGAGAGGGTGGGAGAGTAGATGTGCAACAGGTTGAACGTTCGTTTTTTTTTCTCCTTCTTCAAAAAAGTATCCGTTATTTTTCATCGAGAAATCAATCAACGTAACGAGATCATCTATGATATGAAACGAGTAATTTCTCTCCGTCAAAACTCATGCGATGACCCGGTGAACGCAAACTTGAACGCACAGATATCAAAGTACAATTGCGAAGGGTTGAAACCCTCATCTCGATTGCAATTTCAATTGGTTGTACGGATGACAGGGACGTCGATAGAATCATCGCAGAACAATGATGCGCATTTATATTTGTACGCGCGTGTACGGATATCTATGTATCTATGTACCACTACGCAGGATGCGCGTTATCTGTAGATAGAATTCTGAAAAGCGATACTTGAAATAGAGAATTCGTTGAATATCGTGCGCTTCCTGAGATCTGTCTCTCGTGATAGTTTTTTTAATATCTTTTTCAAATGTTTGTAGTTTATTTTATTAAAAAATATATTCGATCGTATGGGATACGTATAGAAGTTTAAAATTTTATTACACTATTAATATCGTATATCTGTACGTAATTTTGTGACGAGCTGTCGATTCATGATACAATGCACGTAAGCTGACGTAACGTACAAAAGTGCTAATTCGAGTCTTGGTCCACGTACATGGTAGAATCCTGTTGATATATATCCTTCGAGAATATTCCATGTTCCTATATCTAATGTCCTATCGCCACTATCCGGAGATTTATGCCCGGAAGAGGTGTATATATATATCTCGAGATTTCGTCGTATGAGACAGGTGAAACCTTACTGGCTCCCGAGAAGAGCATGGATTTTCGAAACGTCTCTATTTCACACGATTCTTCGTCGTATCCTTTCATCCGTCATCAAATTTTTTTGCAAATATACGAACAGCTTCTTGTCCCTTGTGAGATAACTTTGATGACTTTTAAAAATTAAATCGTCGACGATCTATATCTTTATAGAATAATAACTCGGAAAAAATTTTAAAATTCTTTTTAAAATTGTTTTCAGAAAATTGTACGCTTCATAAAATATGGATAACTTCGTTGAAATTCGCATTTGATTTAAATCAATTTCTAAAAGATTCAAGGCAAGAAATCTATTAATATTTTCAAGAATTTCAAACTGGCTATAGTATCTGGTTTCCCTACGTGCTTCCCCCCAAATTACATCGATACTTTCCGTATCCGTCGACCCTGGCCACGATTTCATTCATCGCCTCAAATTCGACGACGACCTTCCGAACAGTTTGACGGACAAGAGGAAATCGATAACAGGGTCAGAGCTACTTACCGCGACTTGTTGACTGTTAGTGGGGCTAGGGCTTGGGCTGGGCGTCGAATTCGGGGTTGAAATTTCGCCCGACGTCGGTGAGATCGAGCCTGTGGTGACGGTGCCAACTGTTGGAAACGCTCGTGCCGGATCCGCCTGCCATTGCTTATGGATTTGCTGCGAGGTATCCCGGAATCTAGCGCCCTGCGGATAAAACCGTGAAAATTCAACGAACCGTTTTACTTTGATAATTGAATGGAAAATCATGCGAAATCCATTTCTCTCCCCGATTCCATTTCTCTGTCAAGTTAATATTTCCCTAATTAAAATTAAGAATTCGTGTTTCGTAATAAAGTGGATTGCATTCCCATTTGTAATTGCCTGATGACGAAATGAGATGAAAAAAAAAAAAAAAATAGAACGTTGATATTAAAAACGTTGCCATCAAGAAGACGGAATGGCGAACACGCGAATCCTCGAGGAATCAGAGCGCACGAGTCGCTTACGCACACCTCTGCGCACCGTCGTAAAACGCACGATGACACAGTTCGATTAGTCGCGGATATTTGCCTCCGAACAATCGTATCGTGAACGATAGGTTGCCACGGTCCAATGAAAAACTGGTTTCGAAAGGCGCAATTGTTACCACGAAGAGGTACGAGTTTCGAACGTCGAGTAATCATTATCGAAATGAATTATTTCGAAAAAAAGATGAAAAAAGACTGGGAAAATCGTTGTATCGCCGCGCGTATTCTTGAAATTCCCTCGTACGAAATTCTGAAATAGCCTTGTATTGTGAATATATATATATATATATATATTATCCTTTTGGAGAAGTTTCGAAAGAATAAACGTGTCAAACACCTTATTGCGGAGGTTCATGGACCTCTTGAAACGTATCCACGAAACAAAAGATCGCGTGCGATCGTGCCACACGACTAAAACGAACAACGTTTCTCGCTGTACGATAATTATAGTTACGCAACCACCTGCCATAATAACGATTAGCATAGCGGTATAATGGAAGTCGTAAGTGGAACTGCTTGCTTTAGACGAGAAATGGTTCTAGCTTCTCCTCTTCCTCCCTTCCCCAAAACTGCCCCCTTCCCCTTCTTTGAGATATTTATCAAAGTGTAAAGGATCGAAAACGTGGAGCGGAGTGATGCCCTCGAGTGGCGCAATCGGAATTAATTCCACGACGAATAATTTCCGAGAACTGTTCTCTGTGTTTACCTCAAAATTGCACAGGCACAATGCGCGCGATTCCATCCATCGTGGCTAATTGCGCGTGCAATTGCATTCCCGATCGAGAGAAGGAATCGCTCTGTGTATTTCTTTTTCTTTTTCTTTTTCTTTTTTTTTTTTTTTTTGAGCGTTAAACAACCAGTCACAATTCACGATCTTCTCTCTACAAATTCTCCTCTTTTTCCCTCTATTTCTATTCTATTTTTCTTCTCCATTTTTTTGTTCTTCTCGATCGATCAATCAACAAACGATGAAATTTATTAACTGACGATGTGGAAAAAAAAAAAAGAAATAAGGATCGAAAAATTCGTCACGCGAATATTTTTACATCCACGCACGATAAAATAGTAAGTGTTCTTTTTTTTTTTTTTTCCAAGTGAAAATTTCCACGCGCTTCATTAATTCAACAACGACGACGGGGCTCGTTTTAAAAAAATCCAATCTTCGCGCACATGTTTTTACACGTCGGGCCACGTCTCGTCCTCGCTCTACAGGCCGTTCCTACGATCAATCTTTGTTCGCGTTGCATTTGAAAACGAGCACGGAATCTCCACGGTTCCCCCCTCCAGCGGAGATAAATTCTGCATTTCTGGAATCCATTCGCGGATAGGGACAACGCTGTAAATCTCTCGCCTCTCGGATTAAATTTCGAAGATTCGAAACGCGAGCAGTGAAAATTTGTCCCGCTTTAAACGATCGGATAAGTCTATTCTTCTGTTTGAAAAGTATCAAATTTTTCTTATTTTTCCATACCGTTTTTTTGACAAAAAAAGAAAAGAAACAATACCACTTATACATGTACCGATATACATAATACTATAAGCACATTTGCATTATTCAATTCCAAGAATATGCCACGACGGAAAGGATATTGCGTAACGTTATCGAATAACTTAAAAAGGCCAAAGATTATCTTTTTTTCCCACGGAATATACATGAAATCGTCGTTACGTTAAAAGTCCAAAGAGAGGATAAATTTAGAAAGAATAAATTTCCAAATCACCCTTCCCCTTCCCCCGTTCAACTGATTCTAATGCCAATCACGGAAAATATAAAATCACCCTCTTGCGACCCGACATCCCACCAGATTGCTCCTATCCCTGCTGTGTCTACACACCTCGATAATGATCCGTAAGCGCGGCACGTTTATCTTCCTCAAGATATTACGACGAAACGAGCACGAACAAACGTAGGAATTAAAGGGTAGCCGCGATTGAAGGCGTTCGGGTTCGAGAGCGATCCGAGAGCTGGACGATCGAGATCGACGGGTATACCCGGTCTGTCCAATATCGATCCGGTAGATCGTGGGGGTCGGAATACGGTACACCGCGTTTACACCGGCCACGATTGCCTCCTCGTGTAAATAAAGGCGTGGTTTTAATTAAGCGACAAGCAGCTAACACACAGAGAGGGATTACGTAACACGCGTAATTAGGCAAGGGGCGAAATATATATATATAGGAATCGCGTAAGAGAGGTGTTTCGATCTCTCGAGGATGAAATATAAATTACGTATGTAACAGGGATGGGGTGAACGTTTCGCGTAAATACGAGGGATTAATTAAGACGGCAGACCGAAGAGATTACAATTTCTACTCGCGATAATGATAATGTCTACAGACTGGTCGATGTAAAGCGTTTATCTTAATTGCGCCAAGATTAATAAAATGCATGGGGAAACGAGCGAAACTCCGTTCCGAGAAAGCCGCTTGAAACTCGTCCAAAAGTTATCACGATTGAACGGCGTCGTCACGGTTCGTCGATAACGTCAAGATCGCGTGGTCGTTAAAAGGGGACGAATCGATTATCGTACAGGCGGTATATATATATCCATGAATCTGAAAAAAATTTCGAAAATATATATATAATATTTTCGAGGAAATTAGGAAAATTAAAAATTCTTTGCGTGTTTTCAAAATGTGATATTTTGCGAAAGGAAGAGTGGGAACGCTCGACGTAATTTATACTTATCAAATAATTATTATCAACTATCAACTGTGCAATTACGTTAAACGAAACACAAGCGCGGCAGAGTGAGGCCGTTTAAAAAAATTAATTGTCTCTAATCCATACCGTTTACCGCGTTTACGTCGTTTAATCAACAACGGCGACAAAGATCTGGAAGAATAAAACGAGCAAAACGAGCAAAATGATCTGAAGCTTGCACGGTTCGGTTGGAACAGGCGTCAATGCGCGGCCCGATCAATTTTCCCGCTGCTCGTAAGTCACCGAGGAGCATGTTTCACCCGCACGTACGTGTACACACGTGTACGTGTACCCCGCTTCTTTGTGGTCGTATCGCGCGGACAGGAATTACGTGATAGATAACGGTTAATCTTACACGGTGATCTCGACGATCAGATATCGACGTTGATAAAGGAAAACACGGCGGGGAGGGTGAAAGAAAAACGGCAGATATCGATCATTTCCCCCGGATGTTTCGACGCTGCAACCAGATCCTATCCGATTTCCTTAATTAATTTTAAAGCAAAATCAGGATCACGCGTGATCGATTTATCACCGTCTCTACCGTTTCGTTACACATTGTATCCCTCGTTTATTATTAATTGCCATGGATAGATTAGAGAACCGTGAAGATATCTCGTGCCAATTAGCACGAGAGTGTCGCCCCAAAAAGACAGATACAAGATCCAGATAGGAAAATATCGCTTATCGGAATATTTAGAAGACTTCCCGATTCAAAGTGGGGGAGAGGTGGGGGGATGATAGAACGTAATTACGTTTAAACTGAAATTGATTAATGATCGCCGTTCCCCCTAACTAACTAATGCACGATCCACTCGACTCGAAAAATTGCGCCTCAACGTCGCGTGTATATATATATATATTCAACGAATATACGCGAATATAGAAATTATTTATCTAGAATGGGCAACCTTGTTCCGGTTGGAAACATCAATTTGCATTCTTTCGATGACGCAGAAACGGCGTGGCTTAATGGCCACCTGTAAAAACACAGCGACCTCAAGAGCATGATATATCGCCTAGCTATTCAGGTTTATAGGTTCGCTTTATATATTTTCTATTTTTGTTTTTCAAACCGCGTACAAAATCTCTTTAACGCAACCAGCCAATTTTCAATCCTATCCTATCAATCCAAAACTATTCCAGATAAAATTAAAACGTTCGAGATATATTGCGAGTTATAAAAAAAAAAGCTTCCCATAGCTTCTACGAAAATGTATCTCGTCGAATTTCCTCTTCTTCTTTCTTTCTTTAATACCTCGCTAAACAGATCATCCAGTTCTTTTCGCGACAGCTTTGCCTTCATCCCGCGAGCATTCCCTCGCATCGAGTTTGCCCAGAGAAGTCGGCCGAATTATCCGCTCTATCTTCAACCGAGTCGACGAGACGGAACTTCTTTATATGCGATCCTCTCACCACAGCTACCGTTCCTCTTCTCTCCTCCTTCCTCTTTAGACTCTCCCTCTCCCTCTCCCTCTCACTCTCTCTCTGCTTCCCTCCGCCTCAGAATCCGCTACGTCTTTTTAGATACACAAATAGTCGATGACGCGAGGCGAAAACTGCGACGGAAGGTCGCAAGCTAATGCCCATATCGCACGATCGGCCCTCACTTTTCGCTCGAGCCGACATCGTAGCGAGGAATGGTCTCGTGTCACGCTCCTCCTCCCCTCTCTGCCCGGCCGAGAGCTGCTAATTAATGAAACGTGGAGCATCGACAAACGTGGTGACACGATAGCCCGATTCTCTGCCAATTCTGCGAAAAAATATGAACGGATATGAGCGACATTCGTACAAACGCATATACGCGCGCGCAGTGGAACGCACGGCCGCGTCCTTGGTGGAAGGATCGAGGTGTCGCGATTTTTCGCCCGTCCGCGATTCCGTCCACGCCCTGGATTCGCGTGACTTGGCGCAGATAGGGCACCAGGTCCTTCCCGAAACCGATATCGATTCGCGCCGCGTCCTCTTTCGCGATGGAACAACGCGGACTTTTACGTCGCGGTGAAATAACACTCTGACGAAGCGAGACGAGGCTCTAATCAAGGACAGGACAGGTTAACATTCTCGCATCGATAATTCTTTTTTAATGGAGGATTGTATCAAGGAAGAGTTTTATTTTTCTTGCATTGGAAAAAGATCGATATAATACTTTTTCTTATTACTTGGCTCGATCCACTTTAATTCTTGTTGTTCTAGTTTTCCGTATTGACTTCTTCGAGAGCTACTTCTTCTCGACTCGTTACGCGAACAGTATCATTAATTATCAATTACCGTATCGTTCCTATCGATAATCACCGTATCCTATTACCGACAATTTTCTTCTTAACATGATCGACGTATGATTCCTCCCTATAATAACATCAACGACGAGGTTCCACGCTGTTGAATTCTTCGATCCGCAAGTTTCTCCGCACTGAAGAGCGGAGAGGGAAATTCGGAAATTCGTGGGATGGGACGATGATCGAAGGGATTATCCGCGCGTGACAAGCCTAACGTGCTCGAGCTGGACGAGGTGTCCAGGAATTCGGCAAGAGTTTAATTAAATCGAATCGATCCCTGCGCGAATTCCGAGCGTTCGACCCGCCATTTGGACACCCCACTTGTCACCCCTCCAACTGGCCCTACCGCCCACGCCAAATTACCCGACCTCTCTTTTTCCATCTCGACTCGATCATTCCTCCGTGGCATCTCGTATTTCAGGCCGGTACTAAGATTTCGATCGATCGGCCGTTGATACCGGTAAGGGCGTGTAAAACGTGTACGGTTTCTCAATGACACAACGAGGAGAAATCGACGCGATTTCTCACGGGGTTCGATACGACACGGAGATTCCTTCGTCGATCCGAGATAACTTTGTTAATTCGTCAATTCCGTACAAGAGAGTAATTATGGTTATGGGCGAACGATAGGATCAAGATTAGGCGTTACAGTTTAGAAAGTTAGAGGAAAGGAAACGAGAGAGAGATTCGTGAATCGGAGGAATTTTCGGGAAGGGAAAAATTTCCAGTATTTGGTCAGACACTTGGCCCTGTGTTTGCACAGCTGTTTCGCTTTTGCAAACACGGTCTGCCTTTAGTTTTAAGACTTACGTTTCGTCCAATTCTTCCTATTTATCACGAGAAAAGTTTCCAGAGGAAACTTTGATTCCTCCTAGCGGATTACTTTCTTTAATCTTTCCCGTGATTGAGAGGCGAGAAACTTACCGTCTCTTCGAAATTCGCTGTTCTTAAAGAAAACCCAAACACCGATCAAAGTTTGGAAGACCGAATCACTTAGAATCGCTAGAAACACTTAAATTCTAATCACAGTCAAGTTGGAAGTAGTTGGAAAACGACAACACGATACTTAATTTTAAAATAACCTAAAATCCAGAAAATTTTACCTCCAATTTCTCAAATTTCAAGCCGGTCGGGCTTCAAAACACCCTTTCGATCGAACGAAAAAACCGTCGTTCCCGATATCCCGATATCCCAAGAATTCTCGACCACATTTTTCCTCCTCCAAACCCCTCCCCCTCCCCCTCTCACACGTTCAAAACACGAGCAGGATATCCACGTGAGAACGAAGCCGGACATAGCTCTGGATCCGCATAGCTCGAGGGTGGATAAACGATCTCTCGCTCGACCGGTCGACCGGGATCGAGATTGCACCGGCGGGTGAAAAGCTCTCCAGATCCTCGTGTCCACGGCTCTAATTTAACCGTTTGTCGGCCGGCTGACAACGGCTTTGTCCCGTTCACCGCGAGAAATTCAGGTTACCCTCAAGACTTGTTACTCCTCTTCTTTTCCCCGGAAAACCGATCGGTCGGACGGGGCAGGCTTCACCTGGCGCGCCACGTAAATGTGTGCCACGTTTCTCACGTGTGCCGTTATCGTGCGCCCACGTTCCCCTATATTAAAACAATATCGCCGCGCTTTTCTCTCCTCTCTCTCTCTCTCTCTCTCTTCTTTCTTTCCCCAACGAGGAACGCCAACTTGTATTCCGCGTCGTCGATCCTATCGTTGCGAAATCGGGGAGGGGAAGGGGGATGGGGACAATCGATCCGTTTCGTAACGAACGCGCCGCATCCGCACGCGTATAGTGAATAAATATTTATACGAAAGTACGTAGAGCGTACGTAGAGCGTACGTCGCCAGAAGGAAGGAATTTCCTTTCCTTTTTCTAGCCTCGAGTTTTGTTATGTAAATAAAAAAAAAAAAAAGCGTACACGAACGGCCGAGCATTCGTCCCGATGACGAATTTAACCGTCGTTCTCTTATCTATCGCCTCTTCGTTGCGTTAACTTTAAGAAACACTCGTTGAAAAGAATTGCGTTGTAAAGAGAGAAAAAAAGCGTTTAAATATTTAGCGTTTAGAAAAATGCGTGCAATTGTTAATAAGAGGATAGGATTGGGAACGAGGGATTACGCGCTTAGAGTAGAACAAAATCGATGTATAAAATATTCATGGGCCGAATAATACACGGGAGATTGAAGTACAAGGACATGGACGAAGATTACACAAATTACTCGGTTTAATCTACGCAACAAGTGACTAAATCTTTTTCAATCGACTTCAATTGTTGTGCAATGATATCTGCGCAACAAGCATCGCCACGTATAATTCTTATAGAATTCAAAATTTTCTTCTCGCGCGAATGGGAGACGGGATAGGGAGAGGGAAGGAAGGAAAGAGAGAGAACAACTTCGTCAGAGTGATTCGTCGCGACTGATGATCGAAACGCCTGATGTGCACTTAATCCGATCGATCGATCCATCGATCTATCGAGTTCGACTGACCGAAAACACGCGAAAAACAACGCGAGCTAGTTTCTCACGAGCTACGGGGACGGAATCGCGCGTGCTCTCACATGTATCCACGTACAACGACTGGCGGAGGCAGGAGGAGATCGTGGCGCGCACGATCCACTCCACCAGTTCTCTCGCGCTCAGCGGACGGGACGGAGGATATTTCCAGTAAATATTTATCCATATAACTCCGGGGAAATAGATCCGTAGCGACCAGGATCCCAGAAGAAGATATCAGAGGGAGCCGCCTTTATAGATCTCCTTTATTCCCTTTCCTCTCCCGAAACAATAAAACTTTTACGACGACGGGTCGTCGCGATGCTAATGACGCAGCCCCCTCCCCCTCTCAGGCTTCAGGAATCGGACTTAATCGAATTGAAAGCTTCTCCTCGAGAAGCTCGATTTTAAATGTCTGCCCTCTCTTCCATCAAGTGTCCCTCTTCGAAATTGCAATTTAATTATCGTCGAAACGCTTCGTGAAAGCGGGCGAACATAGGACGAGTATATAGTCGTGTCGTAGAGCGGCTACGAAACTACAACGACGACGACGACGCTTCGAACGAAGCGTAATTCGATCAAACGGAGCCAATTTTACCGACGTACACGCGCACACGTTACACGCGCACAAAGTAATCGTTCATAGGATCTTCGCTCCTCTTCGTCCTCCCATCCATCGACGAAATAATCGTAAAATAAATTGGTGATCGACGAAATTCGGCGGGTCGAACTTCCGAATCGGGGGACGGGGGATCGAATCGATTCTCACCGCGTATGGACGGATACGAAGCACGTAACGCGTAAATTCGAATATCACGCAAGAGTGTAAACACGTGAACACGTGAGGAACGAAGACGAATTGGCAATTTTCCGCCTGGCACGGAAATGCTCCGCAGCTCGTGGAGACCGACTGCTCTCGCTCGACCAACGTGCGCCTGCACGTATGCGCGTACCGCAACTGGCCGCGGAGATCACGCGGAACAAGAAGCTAGACCGTGTGTCGCATGTGCACGCGCGGCCCCCCTCGCCCCCCCGACCACCTCGCCACCGTGCTTCGCTTCGTCGCGAATGCGGAACGCAGCCGGCTTAAGGCTTTTAGGCTTCTCTTCTCTCCCCGCAGGGAGTCGAAATTTAGTTTCAACGTTTCGAAGAAGAAAGTTAGAGTTGGAGTTAGAGATCGGTGGTTGGAGATCGGGGCGCGGTTTTCGCGAGAGACTTTAAATTTCTCTTAAATTATGCTTTATTCGATTTTTGGAAAATTGGCTAATTTCGTCGTCTCGAGACAATGCGCTAAATATCCATATTCGATATTCGATTCGTACAATTGGACGTTTATTAAAAATATTTTCTCCCACTTTCAGGAAGGAAACGACGGAATACCGTGTTGTTCAGTTAGAAGGTTGACGAATCGTTTACGAAAGTTTCCGTAAAACTTTTACGTAACTCCTGATAAGAGTTATTGACAATTTTTCTTCATCACGAGGAATTTTGAAAAAAAAAAAAAAAAGGGGAAAGTATTTTACAATTCCAATCTCCAGGGAGGATTATCGCAAACTTTCTCCCTGCAAATTTCCCCGTCGCTGTTGAATAAGAATTATTTTCAAACTTTTTCCCGAGCCGGTGAATTTGAGCGTTTAAATTCGAGTAACGCCTTTTTTTTTTCCATTTTGGTAATGTTTTTTTCTTTCTTTCCCTCCTTTTCGAACGAAGTTACATCTTCCCACCATCTCGAATCTTCGAACTAACGAACCATGCGCCACCGTCGCCGCACAGATTTTAACCGTTCCTTTTTATCGCCTCGGTTATCTTCGCGAATTCCCGCAAATATTGTCGCGGTGGTTTCGCTGGGGGAAGAGGCCGAAGCTCTGGAACGTAGGCGAGGGGTACGGAGAGGGGAAGGGGATTATAAACTGCAGCAGGAGTCCCTGCAGTCGCGGCGATGCGGACCGAACGCCTGCTGTGCTTGCGTAACCAATCGGACCTTGCGCTTGGCGGCAAGAATTATGAACCGGTGGACGAGAAATTGGTCCATCCTCGTCCTTTGTTCTCCAATATTTCCTCGTCCACCTATTCTTTGGCGTTCGCTTCTTTGCCTCAAAAAGACTGGCCATAATTTACGCAACGGTGGAAAGATGACGGAAGGCATGTGGGTTTTATTACGATTATTTCCGCTAGTCCTGGATACATTGAGAATGATCGTACGAATAGGATCGTGTAACACCACTTAATGTAGAATTATCTTTCTTGATTAAAGTATATTCCATTTCTTAATATCTTTACGAATCTCGAAAGAGTTCACAGTTTAATATATTTTATTTAAGGACAGTTTTGAAATGGAAAATGAATATTCATTTTCGAATAATATTCGATAAATAAATCTAGTTTCTAACATTTGCCCGCACCAATGATGTAAAAGATGTTCGAGAGAGAGAGAGAGAGAAAATTTTTTCCAAATGAAACATTTGAATTCTACGAAGAGAGTAGTTTTGAATGGGCTGTCACTCCGGATTGATGTAACAACCGGTTCTTGGTTGGCGCACCACTGCTGCCAATGAAAGAGAACGTAATGCGTTATTAGCATCTTGGCGGGCGCTTTAACAATCGGCCTTCGCCGAGGAGGAACGGAAATTGCGATAACACCGATAATCGAGTAATCAAGATCGGCAGGATTCATCATTTTCAGGGATGATTCAAGTGCAATCACGTGCTCGAATATCCAACAACTCCTTTTTCCCCTATGATATTTGTTTGAAAATCTTCCTTTCTCTCCTCTCAGAGAAGACGAGCGTTATTACAAAATTTCGCTCCGAGGAGGAAGACAACGAATCGTTCGTCGAAACGTATCTCCCAATCGAACCCCCCAACCTGTCTTCGTTCGCTTCGGTTCTCTTGCCAACCAAATTCAACGCACACTTCCCGATCGCGCCCCACATCCTTTCTCGACATCTCCACATCTTCCCTCTCGACGATCCAATGATGCCAGAGAGATATCCATCGGAGAAAAAGCTAAGGTGTAACACGTGAGCGCGTTGCAGAATAAGGTGGGCACGACACCCACGTGTCCCGACCACGTACACACATTCTGCGCGTGGAAGAGGAGGAAAAAGGCTCCCCCCTCGACGCGACCCACGCACGCGTGTAACCCGTGATACCCTGTCCGGTAATGCAGAGTCGTTTGCACGAGGAGAACGAGTTCCTTTCCAGCGGTGCCGACACGTGTAAACACCGGCCACGGGGAGGATCCTTTGGCCTGGAAGAGCAGACGAGCACGATCCGAGTGGCCATCCTGTTCGGCGCATCGCGCGATCATCGGGCGAGCAAGGACGCGCGAGGCACAATGGAGTCATAAGGAAGTCGGCCCGCTGAGTTATGAGACATTGTCCGCCGACCTGTCTCTCGGGCATAATTGCGTGCCGATCGGATGATTCGCGGAATGCAATTTGTTCTCCTTCGACCGGTTGGGGATTCGTCGCGCGTCCCATCGGACAATTAAACCCAGCCGGCGGTAATTAAAGCCTCGAAACGATTGCCGCGTTTGGGCCATTGTTTGGGCCCCTATCGATGAACGGCTCGCGATTGGGGATACGATGACTCAGGCCAAGTTTCGAAAATGGTACGACGTCGGTCAAAGTTTTTAATTTTTATCGGGAATCGTGGGTGCATGGATACCGTGAATCGAATGGATGAATCGAAGGAAATATGGAGTCATTCGCGCTTTTTCATTTTTTTTTTTCTTTTTTCTTTTGAATTCTTTTTTTTTTTTTTTTTTTTGAACGAATGTCGTCGAACGCTAGTTTCGAGGAGTACGAGTTTTGCTCGAGGCGCGTATTGCACACCTACTCGCCGCTATCGCTCATCGTAAAGTCGAGCAGTAGTTTTTCCATGAACGTTATCGCGACAACGGGCGAGCAATAGTCGGTGTTTGCACGCGTGTGCACGTTATTATTATGGCTCGGATTTTAATGCTACCAGCGTGGTTCGTTCGTTTCTCGTTTTATGAATCAACGATCCGAAATGCAACGTCGAAATATCGAGTTTTAAGTTTTAAGCAGAAAAAAATTTCGCAGAGGGAAGAAATACGATACGTATGGAAAAAAAGAAGAAGAAGAAAAAGTAGAAAATTATCGCTCGATGATTCTTCGAGAAATATAACACTTTCTTTTGTAATGATACGTGTGAATCATTTGCATAAGGGATCATTTCGCGTAAACGTACGTAAGAGGAAGGAGGAATCGTATTTTATTCCAAGTAGAGGCAGACGATCAACGGCGGGCATGGCGCGTTTTCGTGCGGTCCGTGCTCGAATGACAGGAGAGCCGAGGAGAAGGAATGCAAACACTGGAGAACAGTGTACGCCTTGGTTATACACACACACACACACACCTCCGTGGGTGGCAGATTAAAGTGGGTGGCTGGGCAGACTGGTTGGTCGATCGGCGGAGAGCTCGAGCACCAAAGCTCGAGTGTTGATCGTGTTGCGAACACTGGACGAGACCGTAACCTTTTCGTTTATCATTCATTCGACCTTCGAGGCGACGAGGTGAACGAGCCCACGAATACGCGAAGCTGCATACTCGATCGAGAATAGCTCTTCGATGCGCTTCGCCCGAGGAACGAGGAGATTATTTGTTCGAGCGAATCTTGCGATCTCCGTTGCGCTCGTGCGCCAGTGGTTCTAGAATAGCAGTTTGAATAGCTGGATTCGAATTTCTCTCCCTTTTTTTTTTTTTTCCTTTTTTCTTTTTTCTTTCATTATTCCTTCCCCTCGTATCGAATCTCGCATGGTTCGTTTCATCGATACAAACAGTGGTGCTCTTTTAATCTCCTGCCCCCCTCCCTCCATCCTCCCCCAAATAAAATATACTTCGATCGGTCCACAGATCGTTCCCTCCAGTGTATATACCGTTCGAGCAAACAATATCCGGTCGACCTTAGCAACCGCGATAAAGCACGTCGACGATCGTTTAATCGTCGGTCAAAGCTCCCTGGTTCCCGCTCAATTACGGGACTCGTCGTTGTCATTTGTCGACGTAGTGGCTCGAATAAAGAATGAATGAATTCTCTCCGTCGACTTGGTAGGCCGCCGTCCCTTATCTGCGTAGTACAACCAAGCCTTTCCATGTTTACTCCCGATAAGGCGCCGATCGATAAGAGGAGTGCACAAGCAGATTCGTCTCACTGACCCATATATATATATATATATACTGCAACGTGATTAAGAGTAGACGCGCAAATCTCGCGAGATCGAAGAAACGAGATCGAAGAAGAAAGAGACGAGAAAAAGAGAGGAAGGTCCTGGAGGAGATTCCGTTTCAGGAATTCGAAATCTCTCTTTTTGACCACGATCCCATCGACGATTCTCTTTCGAGGACCGATCGTGAACGTAATCGATCGAGACTCCCTGACCCAATTCCAATCTCCATGAATAATAACGAGTGGCCGGATCACCTTTGAGTTACGACTTTCTTTAGCCGCACATCTTGAACGTTTTACGCGTTAACCCACTTCGATCAGACCGTTCGGATACGTATACATATGAAAGATCCATCCGATCGGATCGTGTTTGTTCTTCCTTCTCGTTGCTCTCTTTCGGTCGGAAGGTTTACCAAGCGTGCATACGTGTATTATATATACGCGTTCCTCTCTGGCCACTCGTCGCGACGAGGCATTTTTCCCCGGCACCTAGACGGTCCGCATGCGGTCGTCCACGCAATAAGGAATAAAGAAAGAACAAAGTTCGATTGCACTCGATCGACTCGGCGCGGTCAAGTGTTAGTAGTCTTCTCGAGCGAGAGAAAGAGGAGGCCACTTCGATCAAGGGGTTCTCCCGTCTGGTTTGTCACGATCGATCAGTTATATATACACTTGGAGTGTCACGTCGCGCAGTATTTTTGCGCCGGTTACATTTTTGCTGTTTTAGTCCCACTTGATACCT